CTTGTTATCTCAGCACTATAGAGTTTTTAAATCTCTCACAATTATAACTTTGTTAACTAAACACTACGTTGAGAGCCGTAATTTGTTATCTACATCTGAAACGTGCAACTGTTGTAACGGCAACATAATGTGTTTTGTACTCGGTATAAGGAAAAAACGAGAAACATTAGTTTATAGACAATTAAATAAGTAGAATTACGACGTCATCCCAATAACAATCCCATTTGTTAGATCCGTATGTTGCCCATCAGAGGCACACTTTGCAGCGACTAACAAGGCATTGTGACCTTTTTATTGTGCCTCGTACGGAACGGATATTCATTCAATCAAAGAAGCCAACCGATCGTAAGAACGTTTCCCCAACTTTATTCCACAACTGTATGGCGCTTTATATATATTTATATAAACCTTCTACTAAGCCTTTTGTCTGGCAGTACTTTCGATTACAACGGGTGGTATTAGAGATTACATCGAGCACGTGCGTAATATCGTATGACCTTAATAGAATAAGGAGATGCGATGCTCGCCCATTCTGCTACGTCGCAACGCATGCTCGACTATCATCACGTACGAATAGCTACTTAAACATAGCGACTCACTGCCGCTGGGGCTGTCATACAGGGCGAGAAAGTAATAATGAAAAATAATGAACCACTTAGATAAGTATGTGTGTAAAATACAAATGTGCTGTGGAGTGTGGATACTGAACGTCGTACATTCAGTGTATAATTAACGAGCAAAAATAATCCTTTATTCCTATATACTGTTGCTTGCATTAAGCGAACAAGCAAACAATGGAAGATTTAACAAATACAAGTAATTCACATACGAGCGCCTACCATGACTAGCACAACAATTTTATGACGTTCTATTAGCTCGCTGCCGAGCTAACCCGGACGTCCCACGCCTTTTACATGAACATATTAACAAGGTTTTATTCAAACAAGCTAAGAAGCTGACGTACCAAAATGGAAGGTTAAACAATACCTATTATCTTCATAGGGGCCGAGATTGAAACGATCTTCCTCGTAAACAGGCCGGTTTATGGCGAACATGTTTAGTGCAAAATAGGGATCAGCTAAACCGCCTATCACTACCTACACGTGCTTACTTTGATTAACATTCTTAATTCTTCCAAGTGTTCTGCGTACTTAGGAAGGAATAAGTAGATTAAAACAAAACAAACTTCAGCGTTTACTTATCAAAATGCTGATGATAAGCTACAAAATCTTCCTTAAGATTTATCTCAAATTTATGAAAACAATCCAAAATGAGTTGAGAAGTTAACGAGAAGTTGGCGGATTGATGTAAAAGCGTGTATTGAAGCACACTCACCACACAGATCTTATCAAACCAAGTACATAGTGGCTGTCAGTCCTTTTGACCTCTTCGCGTAATTATATTATGATCGTGTGGCTTGACGTTAATTTGTGAAACTGCTCGGAAACCCAACGCTTAGGTGGCCGGGCAGAGAGCTCCGTACCCGATTAATTCAAAAAGTGGAATCCTCGGTGAATTAATGGGATGGCCCGTCGTTCTGTGCCTATTGATCGAGCGTCTCCTGGGGTAAACGGGACCAGGGAGATGTATTGTTTTCGGTCAAAAGTTTTAAAATATCGGAGACTTCATATTCGGTATTTTGACCCTACAAACAGCTTTCATTTGAAGGTATAATCAATTACACTATTTAATAGCATCATCATTTATGATGGAAGATGGTTTGACAGGCTTTTCTGACGAAGCACTTCATTTTAGAAGTTAAAATAGCTACCTCATTAAGAATTCGCATCCATTATTTTATATAATCCTCTTACCCTAAGGGAAAATAATTTTATTTTATTTTATTTTATTTTAATAGGAAAACAAACAGTTTTATAACAATCACTTAGATTACAAATATAAAAATCTAGAAACCAATTAAATGTTTTCACATATGAATAATAAGCTTATCTGTTTAGAAAAAAAAACAATGAAAGTGTTACACTACAGCAATATAAAATACAAACTAACTTAAATTAACACAATTATTGAACCACATCAAACCAGTGTTTAGAAAGAGTTCTCGTGAATACCTGTGGCTTAGTGGCAAATAGGTCAAGTTCCGAATAGTCCGTAAGTGTATTGAAGTACTTTACAGCTCTTATAAAGTATGAATTTTGACGATAATTAGTACTGCAATGAGGGACATTAAGATTAAGAGATGGTATCCTGACCGACCTTTTTGGAACGCGTAATCCAATGTTAGAGAGAAGGGCAGGCGAGTCAATATGTGATTGAGCCAATTTAACAAGAAATGAAACATCTGATATCATCCTTCTCTCTTTAAGGGGCAATAGGTGAAATCTATTACATCTAGATTCGTAATTGCAATCATCTGTCCTACACCTGTATTGGAGATATCTGGTAAAGTTTTTCTGTATAGATTCAATTCTTGAGACATAAACATCGTACCGAGGATTCCAAACCTGTGAACAATATTCGAGTGAGCTACGGACAAACGAACAGTATAACATTTTAATAACTTTGACACTAGAGAACTGAGAACAGGTTCTTTTTAAGAAACCCATGGCTTTATATGCTTTATTTACTATGTAATCGATGTGCCTCTCATACGTAAGTTTGGAATCATGTATTACACCTAAGTCTCGTATATAGTATACCCGTTCCAAATTGTGGCTTTTTAGGGTGTAGTTATGGACTATGACGTTGGTCTTACGTGTAAATGAAATTAGGAAACATTTTGATACGTTGAGGTCTAGGTTATTTGATTTACAATAGTCCTCAAGTCTTGCCAGGTCTTGTTGCAATAGATAGCAATCCTCAATATTGCGTATTTGTTTAAACATTTTCATGTCATCTGCGTAAAGTAAAAATGATGAGTTATGAAAGCAAATATTAATATCATTAATAAAAATATTAAATAACAAAGGACCAAGCAAAGATCCCTGCGGAACTCCTGAAGGAACTAAATGCCATGAAGATACAATGCCATTGATTGCGACAGCTTGCGAACGATTTTGAATATATGAGGTAACCCACCGATACAAATTACCATGAATACCTGCCTGCAAGATCTTTTGTAAAAGTATCCTGTGATCTATGCGATCAAAACATTTACTGTAATCAGTAAAGATGCAGTCAATCTGACCGCCATGTTCCATACAAGAGGTAGTAAAATCAACAAATGACAGTAGGTTAGATGTGGTCGATCGGTTTTTTAGAAACCCGTGCTGTTCGGGAATGAATGCAGAGGAAAAAGTGCTATAGACTTGGTCATATATAAGGCGCTCTAATATCTTACCAAACAGACATAATTTTGATATAGGGCGATAATTGGTAATGTCCCCTTTACCACCACTCTTGTGCACTGGAGTTATAAATGCTCGCTTCCATACGTTAGGCACAATTCCTTCACTAACCGAACGCACAAAAATAGTAGTAAGTGGTACCACCAAACTGTTAGCACACCTAACTATAAATGTTGGTGGTATGTCGTCAGGACCTGCCCCCTTATTAAGATCTAATGACTTGAGGAGCTTCAGCACAGTTTCGGTATTTATTTCGATGTCGCTTATACTTTGAGCAGGACTGATATGAGATGCATTTCTTAGAGATGTATCTGCGCTAAGACCCGAAGTCGCAAGAAAATTTGACTGAAAGTACATGGCAAAAGCATCGCAGATCTCCTCACCAGTGACACACGATCGACCTTCGAAAGCCATAGAAGAAGGCAAGGAATTGGGGCCTTTCTTGTTGGATTTGATAAAAGACCAAAACATTTTAGGATTTTTTATTATTGCCTTCTCGGTGTTAGATATATAGGTCTTGTAACATTCTTCCTCTACAGCTTTAGCTCTAGCGCGAAGTAACACGAAAGAATCGAAATCCGATGTATTACCGTAGATGCGATATTTTCGTAAATATTTATACTTTTCCTTTAATATCTTTTTTAGGCTCGCAGTATACCACGGCGGAAACGATGTAGGGTAAATAATTTTATAGGGAATATACTTATCTATTGCTTCATACAGACAATTATAAAAAACAGAAACCGCATCGTCTAAAGCATTATTATGTAAGTGATCATCCCACAAATAACTGTTTAAATAACTATTGAACTGTTTAAATAACTATTGACTATTAACTATAATAATAATGCAAACAATATAGATATTCTGCTACATTACGGAGACATGGCATGTTATCTAAAAGAAGTTTCATTACTGATTTTTGTGAAGAATCTTCAAACAAGAGAGGTTTAAGAAAGACGACGAAGCAAATGCTGTGTGGCTGCTATTTATTATGTTTTATAATATTTTCTTTTGCCGATGTCCTTAATAGGGATCGGACCTTTTGCCTTTTTAGTCCCTTGGGGAGGACATGGCGAATATTATTTCACCCTCCGCTAAGAGCAGTCTCGAACCCTTTGAATGTATTATTAAACTTTTGTTGTTGTCAGTATTATAGCATCCAGTGTGTGCCTGTTGGTAATTTATTTAATTGTAAACTAGCTTTTGCCTTGCGACTTTGTTCGCGTGCAATAGTGACTTCCCGGAGATTTTTTTATTTTAAAACTAACCTATGTCCTTTTTCGAGTTCAAAACTATGTTTTTACCAAATTTCACAGACAGACAGACAAAGTTACTTTCGCATTTATAATATTAGTTAAATTTTAGTGCCAAACAAAATTGACTTTTAGGTTAATAGTTAAATATTACATAATTATTTATATAATTATTTTACACTGCTTAGGTATTCAACAATATTGTACTTTATTCACATTTATAAGAAGGTTTGTTTAAATTCGCTATTTGTAAATATTTTCTCTAAGCACAACTCTTGTCTTATCCCTGTCGACATAATCTAAATTTAACGTTTTCGTAAAGAATAGTCTTAGTAACCTTTTTTTATCAGTAAACAGATAGATAATAAACAAAATCCTTTCGCACCTAAATAAAAAGCATTTATTAAAACAGAGATATATATAAAAAGTTACTCACAAATTATAATGCACGTCTGCCATATTCGGGCGGTACTTGAGCGCCCTCTCAAAGGCAACTTCCGCTTCCGCGGTCCGTCCCTGTGTGGTCAGCACACTGCCCAAGTTGCCGTATGCTGTGAAAAACAAAGTTTTGTTAGTACTGTGCCAAATTCTTCTTATATCTATATAAACAGATTGTTACACTTCTATAAACATAAATACATATTATCAATGTTTATATAATCCGATAGTTGAACTGCCTTTTGTATGAATGCAGAGAAAGTTATCATATTTCCAGGATTTGCTTTAATTCATTCAAACCCCAAGCAAAAGCCGGCGTTCGCACACCTATTTTGCCTCGAATTACAACGATTGAAAGGTTATGTACGTACATATTATTGACCTTAAATTTTTAGGTAAAAATTTCATGGCTGCAATTAATGTCAAACATTGCCACTAATAACACCAGTGGCCTTACTCATGCATTGCTAAACTTTTTAAACGTCCTTGTAGATGTTGTTTTGTTTTTGACGTTACTCCGGGTTTTGTGTTATATTTTGATGTGTGTAAGGTGCGTTTACAAACAAACCTCACCACCTACAACCGGAATAGCAATTTGTGGATCACACAAAGATTTGTTCCGTGCGCGAATCGAGCCCGCGACACATTGCGCATCATCCGATTACCGAAACATTCTGCAAAACACGAAGTCGGTCTGGCAACAGGTTTCTTTTCGCTATTATACTGCTTATAAAACTAATATAATAAAGCTTGTTACATTAATATACCTCTACTAATTCTAGTAGGCAGGTTGGTCAGAATGATCAGATACTGATCAAAGACGATAACGCATTCAAACGACGAAGCAGTCAACAAATGTTTAAATTTAGAAATTTTCAAAATAAATCACATGTTTTGTAACCGAAGGGGTTATGAGCAAGTCGAGTGCACCGTTCTGCCTAACACTTTGGAAAATCATTAGCTTACTGAAAATACAACTTTGTGTGTATGGTACATGGTAGCTATTATTCATTGTTTCAGTAACTAGATTACTAACATAACACATAAGATAACAAAGTATAGAACGCTGAAAGTACATCTGAGTATGTCACCGAGTCACGAATGCCATGATGTTATGATTGACGACTTGTACTACAACAATATCGTTTGGAAACTTCCCCAACGTGATGGATTACAAACAATCAAGTTATAGCCCGCTTCCCGTTTAAACACTAACTTAATTAAATATAAGAAGGCATGGCAACCCACATGATCCATCATTTTAATCCACTAACGAAGCAGACGACAAAATTTCATTAATTATTCATACTTATGAGCAAGAGTAAGCCGATTTATTATATTATTTTAACACAAAACTGCTTTGAAGTTGATTACTTGGCTTACTTAGCGAAATAAAGGAAGAAAATTGAGATGGAATATTTGTTTTAAAAGTACAAGTGATGCCCTTGGCTTTGTCCGGAATGGAACGATTTTAATTTGTATAATTGCGTTGTTAAAATTAGAACCTAATAAAAAAATGGCCTACTTTTTAATACTTCTTCTTCCGTATCTAGTTAAGTTATAACGGGCACAAAATACAAATTGGCAAAAAAAAATTATGAATAAAGAGTCACTCCTATTAAATTCACTCTGCCTTTATAATATTAAACAGATTTCTTGAGAAACGTTAAGTAAATATAATTCCTACTAAGACGCATAATGCTCAAGAGCACACGAAGACAAAGGCAAGGAGCAGAACCTTATATCTATCATAATTCAGCCGATGAGGAGATGGCCGAACATGACTAATATTAGCTTCCCACAACAGTTGTAGCGGTCTGTGGTGTTGGCTCATGTACAGTGAGACGTTAATGTTCTGTTCGGTAGTATATTAATAACAATACGACAAATTATTACTATTATTAAATCGACCTCGAATGGAACAACATTATGAAATAAATAACCTAATTATATTAGTTAAAAACTTATAACTTAAGCACTTCAAAAGTAAACACTTTAAACTTTATAACTGACCGACTAAATAGCAAAACCTAAGTTCATACTTAATGTTCTTTCGCTGCGCAATCTCAAGTTGTGGCCAAACAAGCCGCGTCATTTCCTCGTCATATAACCTAGAGTACACGCTAACTCTAAAACTGCAACCCAATACATGTTTCAGATTTTAAAACTTGTTTACACTTCTATATCTCAGTGTATTAGACGGGTGTCATGTACGAGTATTATTGGATGTGCTATCGTCTCGCCAACCCCATCTCCGGTGCACTGCGATCTGCTTTCACCGAATAAACATTAGGCAGCTCTGCGGTCACATGAGCTCCTGGTACCTCCGACTGTGTGACAGTTATCGGGTTTTATAATCTTTTGATAGTAACCCTTTTCAAAAATACGGTAATGAGTATTTGGACCTTTTATCGTACTCGCTTTATGTAAAATGTTGTAAGCTTTATTGGTCTGGGGAATAGCATACACGGCTAAATTCTCGGTCCAAATGGCTGCGACAGAAAAATACTATTGCTTTCTATTGGTTTGAGTCTGGATTTGTGTCCAGTCTAAAGGTAATACCTTCTCCTACTTTGTAACAAATTCAAAGTGAAAAATTTGGTACATATACACCTCCATTTAATCTGTACATAATGTAATTTATACTACCATCTACCTCAGTTCTTTTTAACACTTACGTTTCTATAATATAATCTAAAAAAAAAAACGTTTAAATCAAGAGCTACACATGCAGGAATGCTAACATTATGAGCGGGCACTTTACTACACTGAATGCGAAAGCTTAGTCGATTAAATTCGATTCAAGGACCACTCTACGCGTCCGTAGCGATGCCGGTAATATACCCGTAAAATATTTCACTGAAATACTCCATGAATTTTATAAGCGACTTTAAAGTTTGAATATGGAATTAGCTCGGTTATATTTTTCTATCAAAATCGGAAAAATATACAAAATAATTTACCATGTGAATTTTGAAATGTGGTTCGTATATTTTGTACTGAAATAAAAAAAAAACGTTACGATGAATGCCTTACAATAATGACTGTAATGCCAACACCACACAGTACAGTTTTGCTTGGATTGTAGGTACGTTTGTTGAAGTAGCTAGTTTTATTTCTTGACTGAAGACAAGCGTGTAAAAAGAGGCTTAATCACACTCTTCGTTTTCACGAGACCTACCGACAACTTGTTGATGCTCGTGGCGTAGGTACAAGAACATTTGATAGTTACCTATATAATATATTATGTAAGAAGCTATTATTTTTGAGACAAAGTTGTTGCAATTGTTGCTTTTTACGGAATAATTAATATTCTATTTATGAAAGTGGCTCCTTTTAACTTCTCTAAAAGTTCACAGATGCTTGTAATTAAATAAACATTCTTCAAACTTTAGCATTTATAGTTACAATATTATAGCCAATTGAATTCAAGTAATAATTTTACATTTACAAGCCTATAAAGAACATACACGATTATAACAATAGTATGTTTTAACAAATTAAGTACTTTTATTTCGATACTGGTAAACAAATAATGAAAATTATAACAAATACATTGTTTTCGCGAATCAGATCAGCATTATTTGGTAATAAAACTTTGAAAAACATTTATTTTTGAAATATTTTCTAATAAAATTAAACGTACCTACTAAGTTTGCATTATTATATTACAAGACTCCTATTGAAATCCTTCGTAAACAGAAATTACTCCTCGCATTTATAAACATTCGTTCGAATAAAACCCCTACTATTATTGCTAATTTAATAGGTTCGGACAACAATAGATATCGGAGGGCGCCTTTATTTTTGGGGTTGATCCGGTTAAGAACCGACATAAAATGACCCAACACTGGAGATTCAGTTTATTGAAAAGTAGAATAAGAAATGGAATCCCGCGGCCTATGAGGTCTTATGCTAACAAAAGACATTATCAAACAGAGGCAATGGATTTCCGAGGGATTCCTTTATATTTATGACCGCATGCGTAGCTCTTCGGCAAAATCAACGCACTTTTACAGACAAAAGTTAACCTAAAATAATTTCCTCTGTTTCAAATGCTCGTTTACGAAAATCCTCAGCAAATTTAGGCTGTTTGAAAAGCGTGATTCAATAACAATAATCCCCGGTAGACTTAGGACTCCTAAATCGTACTTTTAACAATTTCACGTGTGTTTATCGTGAGTGTTCATCCGTAAAGAGGCGATTACATAAAAGTGTAACTGGGTGCTTCTCTTAAATAGGGCACATCAAAAAGAAAATAAAAATCTTATCCCATTTACGATCGGCACCATTAGCTGTAAGAAAAACATAGAGCGAGAAAATATAAAAGAGACACGGCGTTACTTAGTCGTTCCGCTGATTGGAATATCGGTCTGAAAGCTTTTTTATGTACCCACTTACACGGGAAATACACGAAACATTGACGTTATACCCGAAGGTGTTTATGTATGCCTGCTTGTTTATTGCGTCATATTTTTTCTTTTAAAATACAGTACCTGGCGTCCAGGCAATATTTATTTACTCCACATTCGTGCACAATACAGCTGCTTTCAGCAAAGTTTATAGCTGCGTTAATAACGTTCAAGGAATCAAGGAAGGAACATTTTTAGAACATAACGCGCGGTCTTTTAGGTATGGTACAATACTTGCGACGATGGTTTAATTACACGACTAACGAGTTCATATAACTAGAAATAGTTCTTCTATTTCTGTGTAAACGGCAGCTTAGAAACAGAAAAATAAAACGTTTCATGTGGTTTCGCGCAGGTGTCGGCTTATCAGGGATTACGGGGCTATTAAAATCTTGTTCTCTCGCTTATTTTAGTACATCTAAACGATGAAAACGACCAAATACGGCACAAATATTAGATTTATTTTATGACAAAAACGTTTCCTTTTGTCCTCATTTGTTCCTGAGTCGTGGGTGCGTTTAATTCCTTAGCATTCCAATTTGATAACACCAAATCAAAGTCATCAAACGGAAATAATTGATTGCTTGAACAATATATGTAAACTATGTTACAGACATTCACAAGTTT